TCATGTGCCTTTTACTGAGGAGTGGCTTCCGTCTGGCCTCTCTACCATAAAGGCCTGATTGGTGGAGTGCTGCAGAGACGGTTGTCCTTCTGGAAGGTTCTCACATCTCCACGGAGGAACTCTAGAGCTCTGTCAGAGTGACCATCAGGTTCTTGATCACCTCCCTGACCAAGGCCTTTCTCCCCCGATTGCCCAGTTTGGCCAGGTGGCCAGCTCTAGCCTTGGTGGTTCCAAACATCTTCCATTTAAGAATGATGGAGGCCACTGTGTTCTTGGCGACCTTCAATGCTGCAGACATTTTTTGGTACCCTTCCCCCAGATCTGTGCCTCAACATAATCCTGTCTCGGAGCTCTACGGACAATTCCTTTGACCTCATGGCTTGGTTTTTGCTCTGACATGCACTGTCAACTGTGGGACCTTATATAGACAGGTGTGTGCCTTTCCAAATCATGTCCAATCAATTGAATTTACCACAGGTGGACTCCAAGTTATAGAAACATCTCAACGATGATCAATGGAAACAGGATGCACCTGAGCTCAATTTCGAGTCTCATAGCAAAGGGTTCTGAATACTTATGTAAATAAGGTATTTCTGTTTTTAAAATTTAATACATTTGTGAAAATGTCAAAAAAAACTTTTCACTTTGTCATTATTGGGTATTGTGTGTAGATTGCTGAGGATTTGTATTTATTTAATCAATTTTAGAAGAAGGCTGTACCGTAACAAAATGTGGAAAAAGTCAAGTGGTCTGAACACTTTCCGAAGGCACTGTAGATGGGAGTGGTTGAGGGTATCTGAAGGATGGGACTAAAAACAAACAACAGATAACTATTGTAAAATATACTGTGTTCGTAAAATGTATATAGTATGTATTAGCTGGAAGAAGAAGCCTAAGTATTGTTGTCCATTAATTTACTCCAATTAGGGGAGGGGTGGTAGAGATAGGGGAAAATAATAAAGGAAAAAATACCAGTCAAAAGTTTGGACAAACCCACTCATTCAGGGGTTTTTCTTTATTTTGACAATTTTTTACATTGTAGAATAATAGTGAAGACATCAAAACTATGAAATAACACATATGGAATAATGTAGTAACCAAAAAAGTGTTAAACAAATCAAAATATATTTTAGATTTTAGATTGCCAAGCCGTGTGCAAAGCTGTCAAGGCAAAGAGTGGCTACTTTGAAGAACCTCAAATATAAAATATATTTTGATTTGTTTAACACTTTTTTGGTTACTACATGATTCCATATGTGTTATTTCATAGTTTTGATGTCTTCTCACTATTATTCTACAATGTAGAAAACAGCCAAAATAGAGAAAAACCCTTGAATGAGTAGGTGTGTCCAAACTTTTGACTGGTACTGTATATTAACAAAAAAAATATATAGGGGATTGGAAATGATGCAGACAATTACATTGATGGATGCCACAATCTATCTGCAATATTAAAGCTGATCTACCCCCTAAAGAAAAAAAAGATTTAAAAACATACAGCAACAAAACGACAGCCATGTGACCTTTTGATCATTTTAAGACCATTACGAGATAAATGACTGTGCATTATGTCACACCAGTTGCTGGTTTTAGACTATCACATTTATTTCTCTCACAACTACTGAACCGCATCCCTGACAATAACAACTCTTTGAACTTGTTTTTCCTTCCAGCCTATTGCAAAGGTGCTACTACTAGTCACTGTTGACGTGTTTGGCTTCATGGTATGTCTTAGCATAGCTAATTTTAAATCAAACGGTTCTGATCATGGTGGGATTACCATTGATAACAGGCAGCTATATAGCCGTAATAAGCACTATTATTAAGGCTATATCGACTAACCTTTACATGGCAAACATTTAAAAATATATATGTTCCACCTGCAACTAGCGATGGAAGTTTAGAAGATACCACTGTCTTCCAAGTTGAGAACGAAGAAAGTGTCGCGATGTAAAGGTTAGTCGAAAATGTGCCTATTACGGCTATAAGCAGCCTGTTATCAACGGTTATCCCAGCATGATGAGAACTGTTTAATTTCAGTGTGTGGTCCACTGTAAATAGAGTTGTTTGTGTGAAAGAAAAACAGAGGGAAATGTTTAGAGGCAGGAAATTACTTTTTAGACTGTTGAGAACGTTTGATAGGGAGGAGGTAAGAAGTCTAGAAAGTTGTTCAGATTGGTAATTTGGAGACTAAATCTGCATCCCAAATGGCACCCTATTCCCTGGCCTATAGTGCACTACTTTTGGCCACGTCCCATAGGGGGACAGACTTGGAGTTGCCCAGCTAAAGGGTTAATGGGAGAGTACTGTCTGGCAGCTCTATTGTATTCCCTCCAACACCTCCCATCCCGCTGTCCGAGCTCACATACACACACACAAAGATGCAAAACACCCTAGTCCTTCTCACTGCTGCCCGCTGTCTCTCATCTGTTCCCTTTTTCCAAAAACACCCATGGACATATGGACCTCTCAAACCCTCCCCTACACACACTTCCAATATCCTATCCTCGGCCCATGTGGCTATTGGATTTTAACCATCACTGGACCAGCTTCTCTATGACTCATTAGTCGTCATTTTCCGTTGTTTATTTAATTCTCTCCTCCTGCCTCCACCCCTCCGTCTTTCGCTCGCTCGCTTTTGTGAGAAATGAGGGCAGACATCTGCCGTCTGTGCCACCCGCTCCATCTCTCTGGACCACCGAGGTGGCAAGCGCCTGGCCATGGAGTGAGTGTGTGTGTGTGTGTGTGCGTGCACACAAGGGGAATGCTATTGTGCCCCTTAGACTATTCTTAATTACATTGAGTTTGGGATTAGGTTAACTGACTGGTGGTACAAGGCTACCCCACAGTATGGCCTAGTTCCAGAGTGTACTTCATACAATCTGAGCAATATAACATATTCACCCTAATTTCTTGGTCAATTGTACTTTGTGAAAACATTCATCAGTTAAATTTGGGTCACGCTTTACTTGAACCCATAACTCATTAAATCCACATAACATGACATACTAGACAAACAAACAGCCCTGGGTGAGAAAAGGATGAGAAATACACTTGTGTCCAAAGGTTGTCAAAGTGCAGTGAGTAATCTTGGAAGATCTGAGCTGTGGCCCACAGACCCAGGGCTCTAAATTCAAAACAATTCATTGGTAGCACTGGTGCTTCCAACTTTAAAAAGTTAGGAGCACCACATGAAATGTAGGAGCACTAGAAAATAATATATTTTAAATTGATTGCGATACAGCCTATATTTGGCCTATATGAAATCTAGCTACTTTTGAAGCACATGCTGTGCCCTAGAAAGTAATATGTAACACTGTAAATACATTTGTTTTATTATAAAAGCTAAAATGTTGAATACCTGTCATTGAAATCACAAAGTCATTTGTGGAATATTAGGTTTCTACATTGTGTAAAATCACTATTTTCCTATTGAGATGCATTACATTGAAAACGTCAGGTTTGTTTGTGATGACGACATGCAATAGATCTGTCATTCATTCATTGCTATGATCATTGATCTCCTGAAAAAGCTAACCCTTTTCCTTTCTTTCTGTGCCCCAAAATGTTTGGATAAACTGGTAAGGTTACCAGGTTGTTAGCTAGCTATCCAATGAGGTAACATGACTGAACAAAGTGTAAACAAACGTTTAACGACATCTGCGTGTAAATAGTTTTAGAACGGCCCACAAAACGGTTCAGGAATGTAAAATGTGGTCCCGAAGTTTCGCTATAGGAAGATAAAAATGTTGCACCTGTAATATGGTCAGATCTTTTGACCTGGTTGAGCTACAAGCAAGCCGTTTTCACTGTGGAAATAGTGAATCCATGACGCTAACGAATCTTCACTCGCTTGTTTCTCTAAGGGCACTAGGAAACAACAGTACAGCAAAGCCTTATCATTATGACAATTATTATCTGGGAGAGTTTCTTCATAGTCGCACAGTGCTCCCAAAATAAAACTCCTGGTCGCACAGGAAAATATTTTGGTCGCACTTTAGAGCCCTGTCCAAACCCAAACATGAGTTGGAATATGCCATCATCTACCAACATAGATAAAGAATGCCTATTAACTGTTTAAAACTTTTGGTGATGCTTAAAGGGTTAGTCCATCCAAAACTAGTATTTTAAAATAATCAAACAGCATAATTGTAAAACTGCCTTTATTTTGCTGGACCCCAGGAAGAGTAGCTGCTGCCTTGACAGTGCGTTTAAATAAAATACATTAATTGTTTTCTCTGAAAATCCTAATTTTGGAATGTCCCACGTCATGTTTGTCCAACTTGGAAGATTTCAACCTACTTAACCCCAAGATTTTCCCAGTTTTCACAAATTTGTAAAGCCCTAGTTATTTTGTTTCTTTGGGAAAGTAAATACTGAAGATTTTTACTTATTTAATGTAATTTGCCCCTTACGTTTAATGTCAACCCTAACGTGAACTGAACTCGTTTTAATATGGTAAAACTATTCCTTTAGAAAATAAATGTGAAAGAAACATTGAACATCTAAGACTCAAATCATAGTGTAAATGCAGGTGAACTGGTTCTACTCTTTTTGGCCAATTTTCTTGGGTTTTGTGGTGGGAAACCCTGGCTGTTACCCATAGATAGATAGGCTACAAATGTTTTAAGTTCAAATACTGTTGTGAAGGTTGCTTTCAATTTTCCCCTCCCTGTGGCACACAACAAGCTTCCATTCCCCCTGTCACAAGGGGAGTTACGTTAATGGCTGATTTAAGATGAAGTCATCAACCCTGTTACAATCAACCGTATCACTTTTATAGTCATTTCTATAGTAATCTTTCTCTTGAGATGGTAAAACATGTTTGTTATGTACTCTTTAACAGAATATAACAATTTTGTGAAATAAATATTAATTTTTGACAAAATTAGAGAATGACCCAGCTATGTGTTTCTATGATTGCCAAATACTTGTGAGATGTTACCCAAACCACAATATGCTACGCTGATTGGAGAATAACAATGCTATGCTAACGGTCACTATTTAAGAACAGTAGACGCAACGTAAATGACGCTAACCTGTTGCATTTTCTCCAGGTCCAGACTCGGCCTCCCCGGCTCTCCCCCGTAGCTGTGCCTGTGTTTCCTATAGGGAGCCGCCGACTGGTCGAAGTGGGTCAAGATGATGGGCCTGGCAGCAGGCTGCACCACCTGGAACTGGAGCCAAATTGGAGGCGGTGGCTTTAGGCTGCGAGGCGGGCTAGAGCTAAAGTGCACCGGGCTGGTGGAAGCCGCCAGGCAAGTCCCAGGCTCCAAGGATGCTGCCACCGGGACGCAGCCACACAGGTCCCGCACCTCCTCGTCGCTGGAGGCACTGCTGTGGTGGTCGCCGTGGCGATGTTTCAGCATCCACTTTCTGCTGTCTCCAACACCGTGGCTGATTCGCTCCAGCTCTTCTTCGGACGAGTGGCGGTCCAGAGTCGGGTCTAGAAGGAGGCGTAGGTGACGGAGGCGTGCCGGAGATAGGGGACCCTGATTGTGCTGCTGGCTGGTGGCCAGAGGGGTGAGGCTGCAGTTCCGCCGCCTCTCTGAGGGGGGTGACCAAGAGCACAGGTCAAAGGTGAAGAGGCAGAGATGGCGACAAGCATGTCTACTTCTATACTGTGTAAACTGAAAGTTGCTTTATCTGCTTAATGACCCTCCCCACATCCATGTAAAAACGAAGAGCATTGAAGACTTGGGTTGGTTTGAGCGGGCGGGCCACATACCTCTGTCAATCTGTGCAAGCTCTTGGTTCTCCCCCTCGGAATCGTCACTCTCCGCTCCCTCCCCACTGCCATGGTAGGAAATCTAGAAGGGAAAGGGTTAAAGGATAACTATTTAATTGGGCAACATATGGCTTGTCCGTCAACTTCCTACATGAGATAGCATACAGTTAGCATCATGCTAACACCCAAACTTGGCCAAATGGCATTTTTTCCTGGAAAATTCCTTACTCTCAAATTGAAATCTGGAAGAGAGATGACGTTACAAAAAGCTTCAATCCAGGCCTGGTCAATTTGGCCTCTTCAGTTCAGTGTAAACTAAGAGCTGCCATTTCCAAGTTCCAGATTGCCCCTTTAAGAGCAGTTCCTTTTTGAAGAGTCTACGACAACAACAGTAGAGACACCCAGCAGACTGCAGCACTAAGAGTTAAGTAACACGCCACACACACAGTAATTACCACACTGAGGCTGAGCAGCTGCCATCTGTGCTCACACACACATGCACTCACACAATGGCTCCCCTTCCTACTGAAGCACTTCAAACAGAGAGAAGGAAAAAGAGAGAGCAAGAGAAAGGAACGAGGGCCTCAAGTCCTACTCCAAGCAGGCAGCGTACACTTCAACTATATAAAACTGGGGTGCATTCAGAGTTCACTTTGACATTGTAGGACACAACGTTGAACAATGCTGAATGTTTGCGACTGGTACACTATACACTGCATAGTACTCTCACTTCCCTATCACTGTCAAAATACAGTGCCTTGCAAAAGTATTCATCCCCCTTGGCGTTTTTTCCTATTTTGTTGCATTACAACCTGTAATTTCAATTGATTTTTATTTGGATTTCATGTAATGGACATGCACAAAATAGTCCAAATTGGTGAAGTGAAATGAAGAAAATAACTTGTTTCAAAAAATTCTAAAAAATAAATATCGGAAAAGTGGTGCGTGCATATGTAGTCACCCCCTTTGCTATGACGCCCCTAAATAAGATCTGGTGCAACCAATTACCTTCAGAAGTCACATAATTAGTTAAATAAAGTCCACCTGTGCGCAATCTAAGTGTCACATGATCTGTCACATGATCTCAGTATATATATACACACCTGTTCTGAAAGGCCCCAGAGTCTGCAACACCACTAAGTAAGGGGCACCACCAAGCAAGCGGCACCATGAAGACCAAGGAGCTCTTCCAAACAGGTCATGGACAAAGTTGTGGAGAAGTACAGATCAGGGTTGGGGTTATAAAAAAATATCAGAAACTTTTAACATCCCACAGAGCACCATTAAATACATTATTAAAAAATGGAAAAAAATATGGCACCACAACAAACCTGCCAAGAGAGGGCTGCCCACCAAACTCACGGACCAGGCAAGGATGGCATTGATCAGAGAGGCAACAAAGAGACCAAGGATAACCCTGAAGGAGCTGCAAAGCTCCACAGTGGAGATTGGAGTATCTGTCCATAGGACCACTTTAAGCCATACACTCCACAGAGCTGGGCTTTACGGAAGACTGGCCAGAAAAAAGCCATTGCTTAAAGAAAAAAATAAGCAAACACGTTTGGTGTTCGCCAAAAGGCATGTGGGAGACTCCCCAAACATATGGAAGAAGGTACTACTGAGCTTTCTGGCCATCAAGGAAAACGCTATGTCTGGTGCAAACCCAACACCTCTCATCACCCCGAGAACACCATCCCCACAGTGAAGCATGGTGGTGGCAGCATCATGCTGTGGGGATGTTTTTCCATCGGCAGGGACTGGGAAACTGGTCAGAATTGAAGGAATGATGGATGACGCTAAATACTGGGAAATTCTTGAGGGAAACCTGTTTCTGTCTTCCGGAGATTTGAGACTGGGACGGAGGTTCACCTTCCAGCAGGACAATGACCCTAAGCATACTGCTAAAGCAACACTCAAGTGGTTTAAGGGCAAACATTTAAATGTCTTGGAATGGCCTAGTCAAAGCCCAGACCTCAATCCAATTGAGAATCTGTGGTATGACTTCAAGATTGCTGTACACCAGCGGAACCCATACAACTTGAAGGAGCTGGAGCGGTTTTGCCTTGAAGAATGGGCAAAAATCCCAGTGGCTAGATGTGCCAAGCTTATAGAGACACCCCAAGAGATTTGCAGCTGTAATTGCTGCAAAAGGTGGCTCTACAAAGTATTGACTTTGGGGGGGTGAATAGTTATGCACACACAAGTTTTCAGTTTTTTTTGTCTTATTTCTTGTTTGTTTCACAATAAAAATTATTTTGCATATTCAAAGTGGTAGCCATGTTGTGTAAATCAAATGATACAAACCCCCCAAAAATTAATTTTAATTCCAGGTTGTAAGGCAACAAAATAGGAAAAATGCCAAGGGGGGTGAACACTTTCGCAAGCCACTGTACAGGCTATATCTAGCTATGAAATATCTTTAGGCTAATCATGATCAAATATCTTTACGAATGTTTACACCATCAAACTATTTCCACTACTACCTTAGCTAAGTACAGATTGTGCAATTACAGTTATAATAATTAATATTGCCTTATTATAATTTGAAGCAGTATATAGTATATAGCAGCATAGTTCTCGATCAATTCTTTACAACGACAGCCACAGTAGACACAGCACACCAACTTCACTGCCATTGCACCTTCTATCTCCATGACATCACCCACTAGCACCACATTGGCTTGTGTGAGAAGCTGAGCTGATATTGGCTTGTGTGAGAAGCTGATATTATTTTTCTCTTCCCCTTAAGGATTGGGGGTAGGGTAATCTGATCCTAGGTCAGTTTTTAAGGCTAACTTCTACTTTGAGCAAAGGGTTAAGGGCTCAAGTCCAGAAAAAAGGTCAAGGGTATGTCCGTCTTGGAGCAAGTCAGACACTATTGTCAGTGGCAACAGGATGAGCCAACATAACAGTGACGTTGCATGTTGACTTAACTATTTGGCCTCGCTCTGCCCCCAGGGCAGTTCAGGGAAGCTGGTGTTAACCTCTTATAAGGACAGTGGGTGAAAGAGAGGGCACACAACCACACGCATGCACACAAACACAATAGTCCACAAACACACATGCACACATGCATTTACATTGCACTTAAAAAGGTACATGCACAACGCATACTATCAAGTAACAAAGTGCTTCAGTGTGTGTACGAGAGAGGTAGGCTACTTATCTCTTCGCAGTCCAACTTAGTCTCCCTATCTATGTTACATACTTCCTCCCCACACTGGATAAACGGGGCATTTGTTTTATCTGATCAACTCAAACCAAAACTTGGTTCAAATAATTGGACCATGAAAAATGATAATTTTAAATGGGGTTTTCATGACTAAGGTATGGATTTGAATAGATGTTTTTCTCTCAAACCATGAGCATGTAGTATCAGAGGGTACTCTTGTAAAGGACATCAATGTTATGTGCAGTGCACAGTGAATTGTTGATGCTTGTCTGAGTATGAGGGATTTTCTTGTTAATTACTTGGTTTATGGTATGGGTTCATGCAACAGTTGAGGGAACAGTGCGTAACAGTTGATGGAATGTTGACCGTATCCGAATACCCATACTTTCATCTTAAATATTAGGCCGAAAAAATTCAGTTAAATAGTATGCAACATTTCTACATTTTTGTATACTTTAATTGCCCGGATGTCATACTAATTTCAGCTTAGACAACAGCTGATATAAGGATGGGCTACTGAAATCAACAGATAGCGGGAAACAACGCAATCGCGCATAATGCATTCTCAGTATGCGAAAATATAATGTTTTATAATATGTGAATTTTTGATAATCAAGTATGGTTTAAATGCCAGGATGTTATACTTATTTTGGCTCTTCATCTTGTAGAATTCGATGCACACTTTTCCACAATGCATTGGAAGAGGTGGGTTGCGAGTGATATGCCCTAATTCTCTTCAAGTAGCCAAACTACAAAACTAGGCTACTTAATTGGGAAGATGGCGAATAGCGAAGCTTCTGCGGTGCCGTTCAATTGTAGGCTAAGTCGTTTTTGTTCTCCTTAAAATGATCACAAGTATTGCATCGTAGGCTACAGCTTTAAAACAGAAGTCTTTAAAAAAGTATGTTTTACCCAAAGTGGATTTCTGTTTTCTAATTAAAAAGTGTTTCTTGTTCTCTTCGCCTTTGTCAGAGCTTTTAAACTAAATACTAAACCATCTTTTGATTTATGAATGTGTCGGCACCAGGGACTCGGGATGTGGGTGCGTTATTGATGGCATGTTAATTATGCCTATTGGTTGGAACATATGGATTGTTTTAGTTTTGTAGGCTAGGCTACCTATTAAGTTATTTAATTTATGGATCAAGCCTTAGCAGTCATTCTGATCTCGTTCCCAATGATCAGTGCTTTAGTTAATTATGTTGCTGTCTAGCGGTTCAGAATTTGCGATGCAACCGACAGACCACGTTTTTCTGTGCAATAGCCTTTTGATTTGAACATTTGAAAAGTTTTGGTGTGTGTACTAGGCTATTTGATTTAATTTATATATGTTACAGCACTTTGGTTTCACTAATAAATATGTTGAAATGAAACAAAAATTCTGTTTCTGTCTTCAGTCATTTTTAAATAGGATAGATGGGCTATATGGGCTACGGTATTGGTCGAATGTGATAGTCTTCCAATAACCAGCTTGAGTAGGCCTATAACTCCATTCCTATTTAGTTTAGATAAATTAATCGAATTAGATATGAGCTATTATCAGGTTAGCTAATGCGATGCATGTCTGTTGAATTTGGAAAAATCCACCCGCACTCGGCCCGCCCCACCTACTCAGGAGCCACTTACTTTTTACTAAATGGTACGTGCTAAATAGTATGCGACAATGAGTAGATAGTATGCAGTTTAAGTATGTAATACGCTAGAATGGGTGTTCGGACACGGCCAGTGTCTGTGTGTGTTTGTGTGTAAATGCACGGTATACATAATATATGGTACACGTTCATGCATGCACGTGTGCAACAGTTGAGATACAGTGTGTGTGTGTCTGAGTTTGATGAGATTCTGCACAAGAATGCTATTATTATTATTATTATTATTATTATTATTATTATTATTATTATTATTATTATTATAGAATGCTCGAGATTTGCATGTGCTGTGCAGAGGAGCTGATTTGCTTACTGTTTTAGCAGGGCATCATCAGGCTACTAGCTACAGCAACACCTAGCATTACCTGCCACACAGTATCCTTTG